TTAATTAACATTTTATGTATTTTTAAAATAATAAAAAAATAAAATTTTAAAAGTAAAATATTAAAAGGTATTTTCAATCGAAACCTTAATTATGGTGCACTTAATTTTCTTATAAGAAATTACGAGGCATGGGATTAGTGGATTTTATTTTATGTCTCAGGTTTTGAAAATAAAAATACTTGATCTGATTTGGGTCATACACATATGATTGGACGGCCCAAATAAGAGTTCTAGGCCTTCTCTAGCCCTCTGAGTTGTAAGTATAGGCTTTGAAAATGGATGGCAAATGTGGGTCCGGATTCATCTCCTTTTATTTACTGGTCCCAGGCCCACGCTCTGTGTGGAAACCATTTTCTGTGCGCAGGCCCATAACCTCTAAAAGAAGAAAATTGAAAATGACCAAATAACCCAACAAATGAAGAAAACCACAACTTTTAACAAGCTCATGCAATTTAAACTAGATTTTAGTTTCCTTTTATTTCTTTTCTCTTTTTGAGATTTTTTTTAAAGGGTTTCTTTAACACAAACTCTAGGAGTAGATGTTAATAAAGTAATTATTATATTATTTTTATATTAATTAATATTATATAATATAAAAATTATTATTAATTTTATTATCAATGTTATGTGAATTATTTTAATTGAATAGTTATTTAAATAAAAATTACTTTTATTTTCTAAAATTATTATTGAAAAAAACATTTATCAATTAAATCTATAAAAAAATTAAAAAAATAAAAATTATGTTGTTTCAAATATTCAATGTACATCTAATTAAAAAAACTAAAATAACTTATTTTTAAACTAAAAACAAATTGTTTTAATTTTTGTTAGTGATACTTTAATAAAAGACGTAATTTGAAAATATTTTTTTATTTTTTAAAATCTAATTGACAAATATTAGTCTCATATATATATATATATATTTGATAAACTTAAAATATTTTTGATAATTCTATTGTTTTTATTTTTTTCTACGTCATTAATTATGTTGTCTTTATATTCCTATACCATCTTAATTTCTTAAGGTGGATATGGACTATAGAGGGCATAAACCTCGGACACGTCTGTTTCTCATAAATAAATGGATTGAGTTGTAGATAATACTTAGGGTTAGTTAGATAGCGTTAATTTGTAATTGTAGTTATAAGTTTTATAATTTTTTAATATTTAAAAAAATATAAAATATAATTAATATTTATTGTAATTAATATTTTATATATTTTTAAAATAATAAAAATAATAAAAATAATATAAAATTTTAAATTTAAAATAGCAAGAAATGTTCCTTACAAATCTAAAAAGGAAACAATACTAAAGTTTTTTTTAAATGAAATAAATTAATTATTAAATAATGTAAATTTTATATTTTAAAATTTTAAATGTTGTTATTTATATCATATGGTAAATATTAAACTTTAATCTTATAAAATTGGTCCATTTTATTCATTATTTTCTTTTTCGGGTAATCATGAGGTTTTTTTTTTTCTTTCAAACAAGTGAAAGTTGAGTCGGCTAAACGTAATTAGCTATCAATTCTAAAAAAAATGTAACCACATGGGACGAAAATTGAGACGACTTTTGCATGGCCATTGATCACGTGGACCTCCAAATATGATCAATGGCTGATATATTTTACTTACAAAATTTGGTCCCAATTTTTGGTCCCCTCAATCAATGCTCTCAATTTTATTATGAAAAATGTGAAGCATATGATTTAAAATCGCCTATTCCTTTAACCCAAAATTAGGCCCAAAAAAAGAGACAGGTTCATTGCATTTTTCATTGACAAAAGGGATTTTTCTTTTATGTGTATTTATTGTATTTTTTAAATAATTTTAATTAAAAAAATTAAAATTATTTCAATACTAATATCACATAAATATTTTAAATTATACGACTGATCAAATTAAAATTTATTTTTTCATCATTAAAAATTTTAAAAATAAATAATTAAAATTTTATATAAACATAATATATAAAACTTATACATAAATAATTTTTTATTTTTCGTTTTTATAGAAATTAATATGCTTTTAAGTTTTAACGCATTGCATAATAATCTCTCATCTTTTATCTAATCTCTCATGCATGTCATACGACTTGAATTTAATAATTTTTATTTTTTAAAATATAAAATTATCATTAAATTATTTAAAAAATTAATTTAATATTGTTTACTATTATCTTCCAAATGCAAACAATTGAAAAGATGTGTCCAATTGACTACATCCAGGGGAAGACAAAATCCGCATCTGCCTTTCCCTTCTGGGAAGCTCCTACTCGGGGAGGACTTGACCCTTGACCGCATTTATAGAATTTGGTCAGGATTTCAACACGTAACAGGATTTAAAACTTCAACCTTGAAATATTAGTTCTATAATTTAATTGTCTTATTTTATTCATTTATAATAATTAAAAAATTTTTATTTATTACTACAATAATTAAAAATTATATTTTTCATTTTTTGTTACTCATAATTAAAATAAAAAATCTGAATGTATTTTTATCTCTTCTACAATGAAAGTAAAATTAAAATATTATAGGATTTACCATGTTATTAAGAGACAATTAAATTAAACTATATCTATTTAGAAAGTGTGATAATTAAATTAAATTTGAAAGGGTATTTTATTATTTTTTTGTTACCCTCTTTTTTTCTTTCAATTTGACTACTCTTTTTATATTTTTTTAATATTCTCAAGGTTGATTAACTTTTTCTTTCTCATTTAACTCTCCAATTAAAGCTCTACCTAATTAAGGAAAATTTTCAAAATGAATTTGATCACAACAATAAAAGCATGTAGTAAATTATGATATTTTGACGTGTTTTAATATAAAATTATCTAATCACAACTATAAAATAAGTGAAATATAATGTAGATTTTACTTAAATTACACCGTCATATAGTTGAGATTGAATATATATGCATTAAAGGGGTATTCTAATTTAATTTTTACTTTTCAAACAACAATAAATACATTATTTAAATACTTGTGCATGGTAAAAAAAATATTTTGGAACGGATGGAATACATCTAAATATTTTTTCTATTTCTCTTTTAGGTGTGACTTTCTTCCTACCATTGTTTTTCTTATTACCTAAAGGGTAAGAATTAAATCCTAAATCTATATTTAAAAATACAAGTAACTTTATTATTAAATCATATAATTAACAATTCTTCTTGCATAAGATCGTAGAGCGGTCCTTCCAATGGCAGCTGCCTAACTATGGCCACTAACTTAGGTCGATGGAAATATCCCTCACCTTTTAGAGTTTGAACTTTGAATAAAAAAGGCGAATTTAACCCAAGGATATTAATTAGGAATTTGACCATGTGTTAAGTGGGAGATCCATATTAAAAAAATATTAAGAAACCATGTGAATTAAATAAAAGAAATGTTATTTTACATATTATTTATTGATTTTAAGTTAAATCTAAATCTTGTGTCAAAATTACATGTTTAATTTTCATACCATGTGAGAGTGAATGCATGATCTATGGTTTTCTTGTTAAATATGATGTGTTCTAAACATTTTACTGAATTATTACTGATATAGTTAATTTTATTTGGATAAATGATAATAGTCAAGAACATATGGATCAACCTATTGCGTAGTAAATCCCAATTGCTCTGAGCCTCTAAGGCATTACGATGCCCAAAAAAAGGTTAAATATAAATGAGAGTAACTCATAAATGTGTGTTGTGTTTTTACAAGATCAATATTTTAAGGGGGTAATTCAACAATTTAAATACAAGATCTTTATATAGAAAAACTAGACTTCAAATCTTATAATAAATTAACATAAAAAGAATTAGAAAAGTGATAAAAGTACCTTCATATTTTTGTTATTTACCTTGAACTGTTATATAGAAACCAAATGGTTCTTATAGAATTTTTCGAATAATAAGAGTTTGACTTTACAAATAATTAAAAATTTCAAATTTAAATCCCAAATTATAAATGAGTTATGCAACTTCCCTTGCGTATCCTTATTGTCTCTTCCATATTTTTATTACAATAAAAATGAGTCTCCATCCCGTATTTTTTTGTGGATAAGGATCCTATTCACCATTACGTGTAAATTCCTTGTGTTATTAGTTATTTTTCATCTTATTGTTTTGTAAATGAGGATGTTCCACATGAAAATGGCGAAGATAATCATTAATATCAATTAGTTAATGCGATTTTTCAAGTTCTTATGATTTCGTTCTTGCGTAGTAAACTTAAATAGGGAAGTGTGCCAGTAAGGAATATACTTATATTCTGTAAAGAGTAGATTATTTTATAAATTAATTAGTACAATTCAAACTATAACATAATTTTTTGTTCAATCAAACTATGAAAGCAACAAATAATTCAATTATTAATGGCAAAACGTAATAAAATGGGAAAAAGACCAAAGTACATTTTCTTAGGATATCTTATTTTATAATTTAAATTATTTTAAACATAAAACAAGAATGATTTGATAGGAGGAGAATTGTTAATATTTGAAGACTTATTCTCCCCTCAAACGATTAATGTTTTATAATTTAAATTATAAAATATTTTTTTATCTGGTAGTGTCAATTTACTTCAATCCAAAAAATTGTGGGGGTAATTTGCACGCTCTGCTGGTTCTAAAAGATGTTTGGTTCTAAGTTAAAACCCCATCTGCAATTCATGTTAATAATTGGCTGTAATTTTAGTCCCATGACACAACCTTGCATTGTAGCCTTTTTGCCATTTATTCTTTGTCACAGAACCTGGGTTGGTGGCCTAACATATGACATAAGCCAAAGACAAATAGGGATAGAGCTGTTAACTAATCTACTGAAAGAGCGGGCACAAACAACTTGATAATTGGATACCCTTAATTTTCGAGTTGAAAATCTCATACTCAAATTATTGAAATGGATGAGGAGACTTCTCAAGGCGACAAGAAGTTAATACGATGTAGCAAAGAAAATAATTGGCTAACCAAATCTTTTAATTTACTACACAAATATTTTTTCTAAGCATTAAGTGAAGCGAAATTTCTAATAATTAACAACTTACAAGAGTTGATAAAAAAAATAATAATTATAAGACATGGATCAATATCCTCTTTTTTTTTTTTTTGATCATATGGATCAATATCCTTACTTCCTCAATCAATCTATGCACACAATTTTACAGGACAATTTCACAAGAATTGAGAATCCAACTCTAATTCGTTGCTCTCTCTCATTCTCTCTCTCAATCTTTTTAAATTTTCTTTTGCTCCATTTTGCTGTCATGACCATTTTCCAATATTCAAGCTCAGTAACTCCAGAACCAATCTGGATTCACTGGTCCAGCGGAACCTGAAAGATCTTGATTGTCAAAAGTCCTTTGAATTGATTCAGTTTTGGACACCCCTGAATCCTGTGAGAACTCTACTTTCGGGTTCATTTTCATGTTCTCTCCTTGATTTTCTATCAACATCTTCAATATGGACCCGTCTTGCATCAAGAAAGACTCTGCAAACTGCAAATTTTCAGTGCTCGGGATAATTTGATAGGCACATGGAGGATTCTGAAGAGATCCTGACAACAGAACCGAAACAGGGGATACATTCGAGGGATTCGAGGAAGAAGAAGAAGCAACAAGAGAGGTGTGGAAGCTATCCATCCCGTCTTCCTGTGCTTTCTGGTCCTCCAATGGATTGGAGAAGGAGGTCACATGAGATGTCTCGCCTGCAGCAGCTATTGTCTCACTGTTGTTCGGAGAAGAATCCATCAATGGAGGCATCACGGAAGGACGGAATTCGTTCCCGTAGGAGCTTAACCTCACCAAACCTGATATGTTTATTTTCTTTCCTCCAGCAGTCTTGTGAAACACTCTGCAAACAACCCACTCGTTCTGCAAAGAAGCAAGAAAAATAAGAAAAAAAAAAATCAAAGTAGAAAACAGAGAAAACGGAGGAAAACAGAGTAAGAACAGAGCAAGGATTTTACCTTCTCCGTATTGGCCATATTGTATATTGAATTTTTCCCTTCCAGACGGTATTCATGCATGACCCAGTTGGTTTTTCCTCCTTTAGGTGCTCTTCCTCTGTAGAAAACCAAAGTTTTCTTCATCCCAACAAGTGTTTTTGCCCTGTAAATCTCTTTGTCTTTCCCCGTGGCTTTCCAGTAGCCGGCGTTTGTAGCCCTGTTTGTTCGCAAACCAGTTGGGTATTTTCTGTCTCTAACACAGAAAAAATACCATTCCTTTTCACCCATTTTAGCCCTCGCTGCATTTGGAGAGAAGTGAACAATAAAGTCAGAGCATATCACATGATGAAAAGATCAGAGGAAAAACAGAGGATTTTGACTTACAAGGCAAATCCCAAGGCTCACACTTGTTCAAATCAACCTGACCAACAGCTGCCGCACAGAAACAACTATCAAGAACCTTTGGGGTAAGGTAATGAGTTATGAGTTCTTCATCAGTGGGATGGAATCGGAATCCCGGAGGCAATTCTATCATGCCATCTTCCTCCCCAAGCCTTGAAATATTATCCATTCCTACAAAAAAAAACCTCAAATAGCAAACAAACCAGAAAGAAAATCAACCTTAAACTCGAAAGTCTAAGGTATAGTGCTGAAGAAGAGATAGGATATGAAGAAAAGGTACGAACAACAGATGGAAACCAGAGGAATACAAGCTTCAAGTTGGGGGATTGAGAAAGGTGTTGCTAATAGAAAAAGAAGTGTTGTGAGAAAGAGAAACCTCTAAATAGTGGATTGGGGGTTTGGAAGGCGTAAGTAGGAAGTTCCAATCTTTCAGCTCTCCTCACTTTTCTAATTACCTTTTTTTTTAATTAGATATTTTTCTTCTTCAAATTGACCAGGAGCAAAGAACCTCTGCATGTAAATTTCTCTTCCGTGTCTCATTAAATTCAAGGCCTGATGGACCTGGATCGCGTAGTCGAAGGGCTATATGCCACACGGTAAGATGCACCCTTCAGTCTTTCAAATCTCCTGCTTCAAATTTGTAATCAGTTAAAAAAAACTCAAGGTCTGATGGCACCTGTGTCTCGTAGTCTGATAATTATAAGTCTACTCGAAAGATGTATTGTTCAGCTTTATAGTTGCGGTTGAAATCTCTCCTCTTCCAAAACTTGTAACCTGTTTGAAAAAAATAATAATAATAAAGATGTGATGTAGGTAGAGGAAAGAGCAGACTGTGGGTCTGTGAGTGTGTTCGGTGCAACTTTTCAATTGATTTAGTTTTTTGAAATATTTTATATTTTATAAGTTAAAATTTCTTTTAAAAAGTTTATATTTTTAAATTTTTTTTATCTTTAAAAAAATATTAAAAGTAAAAAATAAAAAATAAAAAATTTAAATTTTTCATAAATTTTTTTTTATTTTTATTTTTTATCTTTAAAAATAATTTTTAAATTTTTTAAATAAAAATTTAAATTTATTACTTATAAATTATGTTTTAAAAGTAAAAATTTTAACAAGTTGGACCAAACAGTCCTGTCTTGTGTTAGTTGTCACCTGTTTCACCAAAGTTATGAACCGTGCTCCATTGCCTATTTTCGAAAAAAGAAAAAGAAAGAATTATCAACTGTGCAACAAACACAATAAAAAAGGCAGAGAGGAGACAACATTTCCTTTTGCATCCTTTGTTCTGTGGCTAGAAATACATTCCCAACAAACTTTGTTAATTGTTATATTTATCAAATATATATTGTGTTATTTGAATTATATAACTAAAATTATTAAATAAAAAATGAGTCATAATATTGAATGTTGTCTTTTATTTAATAATTTAAATTATAAAATATAATTTTTTTTTTCTTTCATATGCCAAAGATCACCAGACCTCACGTGGCAACCCTATCTTTTACAAGTCAATATTACCATGTTGCCCCCATAGATGGTTCTTGTTTTGTTTGACCATTTTCACGCTGTCATAATTTATCTTCAACCTTTTAGGTCATAATTAAGAAATTTGCTAAGAATTATCTTCTTATAACTTATTTTAAAAATTGTACATCAATTAATGAATTTGTGAGAAAACCCAGTTACCAATTGCATCATTAGTTCGGTCAATGTCAATCTTTCTATTAACCCTTACAAATTTTAAAATTTTTCATATTCTTTTTATTTTTTTATTTTATTTTTTAGACACAAATGTCACCTATGCCATGTAAGATAGGATAGGAATGAGTGCTTGAGTATATGAGATCAAATTTTGTAATATAAAAAAAAAAGAAGATTTAAATGATTTCCATGTGAGGAGTTTGTTAGACTTAGGACAAATATATCAACTACCAATCAAAATCTCCTTATCTTCATGAACTGAGTTCATATGGAGCTACCATCAGACAGGAAAAAGAAAATGTTCTTAAGAAACTGACAAATCTTAGACAAAGCATACACACGACTATACTAATGTCCGGTTTTTCTTTGGTCATTAAATTAGGTCGAGATTTTTGTTTTTGGACAGTTGTCATGAATGAAACAAACAACTTGAATTTTAGATCTTATACCACTACCAAACAAATTGAAAAATCTTCCTTAACCAGTTCCTTTTGGGTGATTGATTGTTCTCTCCATGTGTTGGAAAAGTTGTAAAATTCTCTGTTACAATTTTTAATCGAACTATTCAATACCCTCTCTTAAGCTCTCAATAGAACTACTAAAAGATTTTATACTAATTAGTTGAAGAGTTCTGCATGTTTGATCTAATTTCTCAAATAATTTATGTACTAAAAAAACAGAAAACATGCCAATTATGGATTGTTTTCTTTGTCCCTAATTCACGGTTATATCCTTTAATTAATTTAAAAATGAAAAAAAATACATCCTTTAAAAAAATATATAATACAAAACCACAATAATCAATTAAAATAAAAAAAATATGATATTAATAATTAAAAATATAACAATAACGCTGCCTATTTCTCCTTAGTTTATATTCTAATTTTGCCTCTTCATGTAAAAGAACGTGGAAATAGTTGACTTCCCAATTGGCCAGTTCATTTTTATTGACTTTCTCAATCGTTTTATTTACCAAAACAAATAGTTTTCAACATTCTTCGGCATACTAATTCAAGGGGGGGAAATTGCCAAAAAATTTCCTACTCTTTAAGCTTTCGGCCAA